ATATATATATATGGGTGACTTCCGCTTAGAAAGATTTCCGGAAGTAGTATTTTTATCCTCCTTCAGGTTTATATTTACTATACAAACTAGATTACATAAACCTTATTAATTGCGGCTGTTTTGACTATATTGTCAAAATATAAATGTACGTTTTTTTACACTACTTTTGTGTAAAACTTTTTGTGTGCGAGAAATATAAAGGGAAATAAAAATGTTAACGAAACGACTTTTATTTTGAAACGGAAACAGGCTGGTGTTTCTAACTTACCTGTGATGAGTCGCTCTCGTGAAGTTGTGGAAGTGTTTATACCTCAGTTTCCAGGTTGTTTTCTCTAGTTAGTGAAGTTTTATGTGGAAGACTAAACTAACCAGTCCTTAAACGAGACCGGAAATGAGAAGATGGAAAAGTAGCATTTTAACCAGCTGTCCTGAGTTTCTGTAGTTCGTAAAGAAAATGTCTGCAAAGAGTGAAGCAAGGAAAGGTCAGTACCTTGCCGACCGGCCGCTCTTTAGTTAGCTAAATGCGGCTTTGTGGCCACTTATGACTGAGCGGCTGTCGGCATGCCGCCGAGTCAAGCGAGCTCCCCGCGGCGGGCCGTGGCTGTGCTCGCCGCGGGGCTGTTGCTCAGTCTGGGTCGGTGCGGTGCCGCCGAGTCTCCTGGACCAGGATGTGACAACGGAAAGGTTCGGCTGTGTTTCCTATCACTACTGCCTGATGTATGAACTGATACTGGCCGTCATTACAGAGTTGTGTTGTGTGTGTGTGTGTTTGTGTGGTAGGTGTATTTGGACAGGGACCTGCTTGCAGATGTTTACTGGAGCTGTTCAGATCCGAACTGGACGGAGTTCTCTCAGGTAACAGCAGGCTTTACCATCACCTCTGTTATATTTGTTTCAGTCACCTGGGGTCGGATTTATAAAACTGGCGTACGCACAATTTGAGCCCAGGGGTCAGATTTATAAAACTGGCGTACGCACAATTTGAGCCCAGAAACTTGCGTACGCCACTTTTTACGCCAAGGTTGTGATTTATAAAATCCAAGTGAAAATGTGCGGTGCCTCAGCCAGCTCTGACCCATGCGTACGCTCATTTTGGAGACGGGAAACTGCGACACAGATGGTGAAGTGAGGAATTACAGCCACACTGTGTAATGATCACTGTCAGAGATTTAATTTATCTTCATCAGACTTAGATTTTTATTCAACTTTATCATCAGCTTTAGAGCTGGGCGATATGATCTAAATTTAAATCACGGTATTTTCAACATTTTCACCGGTTTCACGGTATTTGATGGTATTTTTCT